TTTTCTAAGTCAATAAGTGTCAGTAGGGATCCTTAGGCATGGAAAGTTTGATACCACTGAATTAGAGGATGGGGAAAACATGAGGTGGTGAGCCCAATTAGACATTAAGCACCTTGAGGATGGGGGGGGGAGTCTTTTTCTCTTTGATCCTGCACAAAGCAGTATAAAACACATACTAAGTCCTCAATAAATTAACTAGCCAAGAAACAGAGCCATAGGCAGACCACGTGGTAGAGTGCCCTCTGCTTTGCCCTGCCAGGTTTGGGGGCAGTAAGTCTGAAGCTAATGATCTAATCTTCATACTTAAACTCAATAAGCAAGGAGAGAGCAGGGGAAAAGTTATTTCCTAGACCTTCCCTGCAGGCAAAATATTGAAACTCAGCTTTGATGGTGCTACTTTTAAATCTTAAGATGCCATTTCTAACAATAATTTGGTATGACTAATAAAAAGAACAAAGAAAAGCAGAATCATTTATATATGGGAACAGGATCTTGATACTCAGGGAGAATTAGAAACTAAGTTATTAGTATTGCTCATTTGCTCTCTGGGTATACATTTCTTGGGAAATGTCTCAGTCAAACAATAAGCTCTTTTTAAGTGTCTCCTATGTGACAGGCACTGTGCTAAGTGCTGTAGTTACAAAGAAAGGCCAAGAAACTCACTAATCTAAGGGAAAGATATCCAAATATTACATGATAGCAAGGACTGGACTGTGCTCTCTTTTTGTAAAAATCACAACGTGGACATGGAGTTTTATAGAGGGTGGAAGGGCCCTCAGAGGACAACTCTCTCCACAAGGATCCTTTCTTCATCATGTCTGACATGTGCAGAGACTGTATGCTATTTGCTTTTGTTTACTCAGGGCTTAGCAAAGTCCTTGGCACAAAGAATGTACTTAATAAATTATTGCTGTTTGTTTGCTTGATTGCTAAATGCATTCTACAAAGATGTAAATTATCTCTCCAAGTTTTTTGATGCCACAAACCAGTACAGAGAAGAGACTATCATCATGGAAGTATAAATTAAGAATTTCAAAAAGAGGTTTTCTTCCCATATATGTGGCAACTAGGTAGCACAATGGATAGAAGGCCAGGCCTGGAATCAGGAAGATCTGAGTTCAAATCTGGCCTCAAATACTTACTAGATATATGACCCTAAGCAAGTCATTTCACCCTCTTTGCCTCAGTTTCCTCATCTGTAAAATGAACTTGAGAAAGAAATGGCAAACCACTCTAGTATCTTTGCCAAGAAAACCCCAAATGGGCTCAGATTCTTATCATCTAGCCACTGCTCAGATTTTTACAATCTAGTCAATAGCTCACAGGTGCTCAGATTCCTTAAGAGTCTGGCTAATATGGTGGACCTTTAACAAACCTTGTCTTTGGCTGAAAGAAGGCTTGGTCAAATTCTTTTGGGCAGGACCTGTGTGTTGTGATCTTGGGGTCCCAGCACCCCTAAACCTCTAGATCTCATCATATGGTTCCCTGCACTGGGAATCCCAAATTCTTTTCTAGCCAAGACTGTAAGGACAAATTTAAATTTGAGATGTAAATCCTGGAAAAGTTTTTCCTAAGCTGTGATTAGTGAAACCTGCTGTTTGAGGTAAAAAAGCTCATGATTTTATTTTGAGTTTTCTAATGGATCATAATAATCCATCGACAAATCAACAATCCGCCATCTGAGAAATGCCACAAGCTACTCCACGAGAATGTGATACTGGTGGGAAGTCAGCATTGGGAAAAAGCTGAGAGGACAATTTTAGCCACAGTCTAAGATGGGATCCTCCTGGCTCAGTTTCCCCATTATGTTCCTTTGAAAAGGAATGTCACCCACCTGGCTATTCCTGAGTCTGGCTATGAGGTGGATTTGATACAGCATGGTTGGAAAACTGAATCATCTAAGGATGTTTTATCCTGTCATTTGGGCCCTGCAGTCTTTTCTGTCAGATTTGTGTCTTCTAGACTATAGTACCAGCTAATGATTCCCCATCGTTCCCTGGATGCAGCCTGTGCTCACTTCAGGTCAACCTCCTCTTTGGGACCCCCTCAAGGCAGGAACAGTTCTATGCTCCTTGTCAGCACATGGCAAGACTCCAGAACTATTGTCTTGGTGACCCAATGTTCGACACCCTACAAGGACTTTGGGGTGTACAATCTCAGATTTTTAGCACCCCTTTCTCCATTTTCAATGCCACACGGCCCACAGGCTCTAACTTTAAAAGAGCAAAGCTTGGATTTTGAAGAAATGTCCTCTGGTTCCTTAAAAAAAGGAGTAGAGTATCTCATGCCCTGGTATGGTCACCTACAACATGAACATATTCTCTCCAGCCTTATAGAGACTATTCACCAGTTGGCAAACAAGATAGGTTATGGTCTCCAGGAAATCCAGCAATCTTTGGATTCCTTAGCAAAAGTGGTTCTAGATAATAGAATAGCCCTAGACTACTTGCTTGCCTCCAGTGGGGGTGTATGTGCTTTAGCAAATACATCTTGTTGCATGGACATCAACAATTCTGTTCAGGTAGAGCTCTGCACTGAACATATTTTGGAAAAGGCTAGTTGGATGCAAGAAATTTACAATAACCACAGTGCTCCAAAATTATCTTTTTCATGGGAGTCCTGACTTTTTTCTATACTGGCCCCTATTTTAACCCCCCTACTGATTATATTTTTCTTGTGCCTGTTTGGTCCATGTTTGCTAAATATTCTTACCAGGTTCCTTTCTTCCAGGGTCCAAATGACTGCTCAGGCTGTATACCAAACTCCAACCAAGTTCAAGGTCTCTAGACCACTGAACTTGGAATCAGTCAGGTTCTGAAGTCTGACCCCTTGAACAGGACCCAGCAAGGCAGGGACAGCTCTACACCACTTGCCAGCTGGAAGCAGTTTCAGAAGATGAGACCTTCTCCCCTTGCCCCAAAAGAATTTAGGTCCCATTTGTTTGAGGGGGGAATGATGGGGTATGGGCCCAAGCCAAGACTTTTGCCCCTTGCCCCCAAAAGAATTTGGCTGTCACTTGTCTACAGGACCTAGAAAACCCTTAAGCTTTTTTTGACCTCGCTCTGGTCTCAAAAGGTTACCTAAAGTTATATTCCACTCAATGGCTTTTCCTTATTGATTCTCCTTATCTCCTTTTGAAAGTCCTAGTATTCCTATTCAAACTCCCCAACATTCCCATCCCAGCTTCATTATCTATTCAATCTATCTATCCCCATAGTCCATTCAATCTAGCAGATATCTCAATCAGAATTCTCCCTAAGTCACCCAGACCCTCTTCCCAGCCCCTCCTCTGGTCACCCAAAATTACTTGAGTGTATCCACCCTGGCCCCCATTTAAACGCTGACACTTCCTCATGCTGACTTGTCCTTAAGGGTGTCACTAATGTTCAGATTCCTTAAGAGTCTGGCCTGTATGGTTTATCTCTAATAAACTTTTTCCTCTGGCTGAAAAAAAAAAAAGATCAAAACATTCAACCAGAAGAAGACAACAAGGTCAAAGCTCCTACATTCAAAGCCTCCAAGAAAAATTTGAATTGGTCTAAAGCAATGGAAAAGCTCAAAAAGGATTTTGAAAAGCAAGTAAGAGAAGTAGAGGAAAAACTGGGAAGAGAAATGAGAGTGACGCAAGAGAATCGTGAAAAACAAGTTGATAGCTGAAGAGAATAGCACCTTAAAATAAAATAGACTAACCCAAATGGCAAAAGAGGTCCAAAAAGCCAATGAGGAGAAGAATGACTTAAAAAGTAGAATTGGCCAAAGAACGTCCAAAAACTCACTGAAGAAAATAATTTCTTTAAAATTAGAATGGAGCAAATGGAAGCTAATGACTTTATGAGAAATCAAGAAATTATAAAACAAAACCAAAAGAATGGGGAGAAAATTTGGAGTCAATCAAACAAAGAATACTAGGACCTACTCCCTGGCTCTGAATACATACCTAGATGAATTTAGATTTCCTCCCTGGTGCCAACAGTGTTTGTGCCATCTATTTGCCACTGGGGTTTTATAGCAAAATAGGAATTTTTTTAAGCTAAGTTTAAGCAAACAGAGACAAGTTGATGAAAGTTAGGATACTAAGAAGCTAAGCAGGGAAGACTTTTAAGTCACACAATTTCCCTTTCCCTCATTTTCATCCTAGCATAGTTGAGGTCACCAAAAGTCCTTCAGTTCATCTTTAAATTTGTGCCTTTTTCACCTGTGGTAAGAATGTCATTTGGACTTGTACATAGCTGTTTATAGGCCTTGCTTATGTGGCAGAATGCAACATAAGAAGTCTTTAATCGCTATTGTAGATAAAGAAGGAAAAGGGGAAAGACATTAGGTGAGGTGCAGAGGAAATCTTTTATTTGAAAAATATTTGAGGTGCTCTGTCTAGAAAAAACTTAGGGAACTCTATGGTTGTAGGCCCTAATTTCATAAACCTGTATTGCCATGAGATATGGAATCTATACCACTAATTTGGGCAATTAATTTTTTTAAACTTAAACAGTTTTTATTTTTTTTTCCCCAATTACATATTAAGAAATTTTTTAGCATTCGTTTTTCCAAGACTTTGGGTTCTACATTTTTCTCCCTCCCTCCACTCCTTCTCCCTGAAAATAATACACAGTTTGACATAGTTCATATGTGTGCTATCATGTAAAACATATCTCCATACTCATCACAGCTGTGGAAGACAAAACAGATGAAAAAGAAACAAAACCATGAGAAAGAACAAAGTAAGTGAAAAAAAAAAAAGAAAACCCCAAATGGAGTCATCAAGAATCAGACATAATTGAAATGACTGAACGGCAGCTATAGAAATCATTCTCTCAGAACTCCTTTAATGATTTTAAATTCCCTTTCCATCTTCCTCTCCCACTTTTGAACCAACTCTGTGATCTTAAGTGCTTCACCACCAAACTGCCCCATCTGCCCTCAAAAAGAGCTGAAAAGTGATGACACAGAAGATACTGGCTTAAACATTTGCAGCTCAGCCCTACTTGCCATTCATGTGTTACCTTAGTCATGGTTTCTGGTTTTCTTATGGTGACCTTGGCTTTGATGAGCTGAGCTTCATCAGTACCATGTTCAGAGTCTTCTACGTAACTATCTTTCCCAACATCTGGAAAAAAAAAAAGATCAGAGTAATTTTTCTGCTGTTAAGAGTTTCTAATTATTTGGGACTGGTGGAGGCTAGTTTGAGGGGAGAAATGCTGTTTAGTATATTAGGAAGTTCATCTGAAGTTTTGCCCCCAAATATCCTCTTTTCATTAGTAGGATAGACAATAGTCATACTCAGAAAGAGTCCAGATGATAAGGTACACTGCATCCAACCTGAATTCCCCCAATACTCCCTCTAAGCAACTTTAAAACAACTATTCCAATCAAATTTTGGAATGGCAGAGCCAATAAAAAGTCAGAGTGAGATGTTTTTCCCAGCCAAAGAAAACTTGGGAGGTCAGTAGGAAAGGTCTGTGACACCAGGATTGGGGCTAGCCTAGATTGCACATGGCAGCAGCAATAATGGTGGATCTCAGAGACAGCTGTGACAGTGGTAGCAGCAGCAACTTGGCAGTTTTGGGAGCTCTCAACGTAAAACTAGTAAGGGGGTCAGACAAATGGCGAGAAAGAGGTTACAGGGGACCTTTTGCTGGTATTGGGTGCAGGACTTGGCACTGTTTGGCAACTGTATTGCCTGTACATTGTTCTGGGTTGCAGTTCCAGGGTGGAGAGGAGCACTTGTGGTCAGCCACAAAAGAGCAGGGAACCTGGCCACAGTTCCAAGGCAGAGAGGAGCACTGTGGCTGTAGGAGAGCATGGAATTTGGTTCAATTTCTAGGGCCAAGATGAGCACTACCACTTGTGGCTACCAAGGACCAGGGACTAGGGACCATTCCTATGTACAGACCAGAGTACAGACCAAAAGATCAATGATCATACCTCTTCCTAGAACATACCACTGTTTCAGAAAGCACTGAAAACTTGTAAAAAAAAATTTGCAACTCCCCAGAGCTAGCTCTGAAAACAGTAGCATAAAAAGCCCAAAGCTTGGGAAAGTAATTTCCTGCCCTGAAGTATGCAAAGTTCAACTTTAAAATAAAGTTCAAAGTCAAGAAATAAGCTGGGAAAATGAGCAAATAAAAAAAAGAATTTGACCATAAAAAGCTACTATGGTGACAAGGAAGACAAAGATACAAACTCAGAAGATGGCAACATGAAACCACCTATAAGCAAAGCCTTAAAGAAAAATGCTAGTTGGACCCAAAACCATCAGGAATGCCTGGAAAAGTTAAAGAAAGAGATAATAGTGATAGAAGAAAAATTGGGAAAGGAAATGAGAGTGATGCAAGCAAATTATAAAAGAGAATTAATGGCCCAATAAGAGAGGCATAAAAATACTGAAGAAAATGATACCTTAAAAACAGAATTGATTAAACAGAAAAAAGAGCTACAAAAAGTCACTGAAGAAAACAATTCCTTAAAAATTAGAATTGAGCAAGTGGAAGCTAATGACTCTATGAGACATCAAGAAACAATAAAGCAAAGTCAAAAGAATGAAAAAAATAGAAGAAAATGTGAACTATCTCATCTGGAAAACAACAACAAGAACAATTGACCTGGAAAATAGATCAAGGAGAATTAATTTAAGTATTATTGGACAACCAGAAAGCCATGATCAGAGAAAGAGTTTAGACATCATATTTCAAGAAATATCTTAAATTCAGGAGCTAAAAATAGGAATTGAAATAATCAACTAATCACTTCCTGAAAAAGATCCTAAAATGAAAACTCCCAGAAATATTATAATCAAATCCCAGAGTTTCCAGGTCAAGAAGAAAATGTTGCAAGCAGATTAAAGAAACAATTCAAACATTGTGGAGCCACAGTCACGATCATGACATTTAGCAGCTTCCAAAGTAAAAGACTGGACGTCTTGGAATATGATATTCGGGAAGGCAGGCTAGAATTTCAACCAAGTATTAAGTAAAGCTGAATATAATCCTTCATGGGGGAAAGTAAACATTTAATGAAATAGAGGACTTTCAAGTATTTCTGATGAAAAGACCAGTGCTAAATAAAAAAAAAAATGTGACATTCAAATAGAAGATTCAAGAGAAGTATAAAAAGGTAAACATGAAAGTGCTTGAATATGCCAGGAAGACACTCAATAAAGTTAAACTATTTACATCACTGTATGTGAAAATGATACGCATAAAACCTAAGAACTTTATCATTATTAAGACAGTTAAAAGGACTTTTCATAGACAGAAGGCATCAGTATAAGTCTATTATGTTGGGATGATCTCCCTCCAAAAAATGAAGGGGGGGTGAAAAATAGGAACGCACTAGGGAAAAGCAAAAGGAAGAGTAAAAATGGAAAAAATTATTTAACATAAAAGAGGAATACAAGGAAGAGATTTATAGTGGAAGGGAAAATGTTAGAGGGTGTGGTGTTAACAGGTAATGATTGAATCTCACTCTCATTTGAATTGGTTCAAAGAGGGAAGTATATATATGTTAGTTGGGTATAGAAATCTCTTACCCAATAGAAGGGTAAGGTAAGAGGACAAGAAATATGGGAAATAGGAAATACACAGGTAGTAAACATAATTATGAATATAAATGGGATGAGCTCACCCATAAAATTGAAAGAGATAGCAGAATGGATTAGAAACCGGACTAGAATAATATATTGTTTAAACAAAATAGAAATTGTTTACTTGAAGTAATTATTTACTTAAAATAGAAAGACACACACAGAGTTAAAATAAAGGGCTGGAGAAGAATCAAATATGCTTAAGCTGAAGTAAAAAAAGAAAAAGGTAGGATAGTAATCATTATCTCAGACAAAGCAAAAGCAAACATAGACCTAATTAAAAGAGATTATCAGAGAAACTACATTTTATTAAAAGGTAATATAGACAATGAAGTAATATAAAAACAAATTACAGTGTCTCTACTAAAGGCCTCATTTTTCAAATACATATTGAGTATGGAACTGAGTCAAATTTATAAAAAAAATAAAAGTTATCCACTAATTGATAAATGAATGGGTGGTTTTCAGAAGAAGCAATTGAAGCTATCTATAATCATGAAAAAATGCTCCAAGTAATTATTGATTAGAGAAATTCAAATTAAAACAGCTCTGAGCACAGTGGATAGAGCACCAGCCCTGCACCTGAGCTCAAATCTGGCCTCAAACACTTGACACTTACTAGCTGTGTGACCCTGGGCAAGTCACTTAACCCCATTGCCTAGCCAAAAAACAAAACAAAACAAAACAAAACAAAAAACAAACAAAACAACAGCTCCGAGTTACTACCTCACACATATTTGACAAATGCTGGACAGGATGAGGGAAAATAGGTATATTAATAAACTATTGATGAAATTGTGAACTGACCCAACCATTCTGCAAAACAATTTGGAACCATGCTGAAAGTGCTATTAAATGGTGCATACCCTTTGACCCAGAAATACCCCTACTAGGTCTGCACTACAATAAGACAAAAACAAACAAAAAAAAAAAGGAAAAGGACCTATAGGTACAAAAAAATTCATACTAACTTCTTTTTTTTTTTTTGGTGATAAAGAATTGGAAATTGAAGGGATGCCCATCAATTAGGAAATGGGTGTAACAAGTTATACTATATGATTATGATAGAGTAGCACTGTGTTATAAGAAATGATGAGGAAGGTGCTTTCAAGGAAAAAAAAACATGGAAAGACTTATATGAACTGATGCAACGTGAAGTAAGAACTAGGAAATCATTGCGCCCAGTAACAGCAATATTGTAGTGATGATCAACTGTGAAAAACTTGATGACTCTAATTAATACAATGATACAAAACAATTCCAAAGCACTCATGATGAAAAAAATGCTATCCACCTCCAGAGAGAACTGATGAACTCTGAGTACATACTGAAGCATAATTTTCTTGATTTCTTTATTTTATTTTGGCCTTTTTTTGTGATAAGACCAATATGGAAATATCTTTTGCATGATTTTATGTGGATAATTGATATCATTTTGCTTGCCTTCTGAGTTAGCAGGGGAGTCGTTGGAGGGATTGAGAGAATTTGGAACTCAAGATTTAAAGAGAAAATAATGTTAAAAATAAATAAATATTTTTTAAAAATAAAATAGTCACTCTTTTTTAATATGTCATAGGATAATAGATCTAAAGCTACAATGGATCCTGGAGGTCTTCTAGGCCAACTGCTTCATTTTATAAATGAGGAAACTGGATCCCACTTATTTTTATGAATTTGATACTCACTGTGATGAAATATGCCAAACAGATAAATATGAATAAAACAAGATAATCACCAATATTTACAACCCATAATCCTGGTGGAAGGAAAACACTTTTTAGTATTTGCTACTGTCAGGTGTTTTCACATAGGCTAAGATGTCCTGGAGACATCTGGCACCTGAAGATCTTCCCACTAACCCTATATACCATAGAATAGTTGGTATAGGGCTTGAGCTTACATGGGGGGCACTTTCATGGATATGTAACAAGTACAGAATCAAGTTGGAGTTTGAGTCAGGAGACCTCAGTTCCTGTCCTGGCTGTGACACTTCCTAGCCATGTGACCTTGGGTGAGTGATTTCATATCTTTCATCCTCATTGTCTTACTTGTGAAATGAGGAAACTGACCCAGATGACTTCTAAGGTCCTTTTTCTATGCCTAACATTTTATGAAACTGCAATTTCCACACCATTTATTAAGCTTAACTTGAAATTCTCTATTTTTGCCTCCCTTGAATTTCCTCCCTCAGAGGAAAAGAAATTGAGCATCTGTCTGATGTCAATGTCAAAAAAGACAAAATGATTCACATATATCTCATAACAAAATACAATGGAAAAAGCCCAACACTGTTGGTCATTACTTGCTTGGTATTCAAGTCCCACCTCTCAACTCTCCCCTCCAGCCTTGCCATGACAGCTCCTACATGAAGAAATCTTTCATGCCCCCCTCTTCTTGCAGATGTTAGCATCTCCTCCATCTCTAAACTACTTTTAATGTAGCTTTAAATATATATATGTAATATATGCATATTATATATCATATACTTAATGTAGCATTTAATGTGTGTTTATTTGTATATGTAT